CTCTTTCCTAACTCCCATTCTACATAAATCTGGGCAGAAATTGTTTGTTGGTTCTCAAATGGTCCAACTACCAATTTTAGATAGAGGATATGCTCAGGTTCCTGGGGAAAATTTAACTTTCTATTATCCATATAGTATATATGTGTAGATGAAGTGCCGATAGTCCTTAGATTAAAGTTCTCTCCACCTCTTTTTCAACTAATCCTATAAAATAGCCATCTGTATAAGTAACTATTGTCACAATAAAGCTGCTTGACAGCTTCAAAATCCAGTGGCTTTAAGCAATGATCACTTACTCCTGCTTGTGCATCTGCTGGGGGTCAGCTGACCTAGCCTGAGCAGGAGTCCAGACTTGCTTCATGTGTCTCTCCTACTCCTCTTTGGACCACCAGGCTGGCCACATTTCTTCTCAGGACAATGAAAGACGCTCAAGAAGACAACTGAAAGCGCAAATGCCTCTTAAAGACTAAGCTAATACTGGCATGTGGTCACTCTAGCCACATTACGTTGGTCACAGTAAGCCACATGTTCAAACACAATATCCATGCCTCCAGTGGGAGGAATGGCAAGTCACATGGCAAAGAGTGTGGCTACAAGGCTACAAAAATTGGAGCCATTAAGTCAATGTACCAAAACATCTAATAGGATGGTCTTTGTATCTCCCCTTGTTAATTCTGTCTGGTTTTTCCCTAAGTATACTGTAAACATATCTGTATTTCTTTCTTTGCCTGACTGAGCTGCATTATTCTCGTGACAAACAAGCACATCCACTGACTTTTCCTCCTCAGATTCCAGCTTTCTTTGACAGAGAGATGTCTGGAACTCAGGGTTACGTTAGCCTCTTAAATTTACTACTTGGGTGAATATAAGGGCCTGAGCAGCTCATAGAACACTCATGTGCCCCCTTTTTTTTTTTAACAAAATAAAAGCTTTCAGATTTTTCTGGGGGTGGGGTGCGGATTCCCCTCATATAAGTACTTTTGAATATGTCACTTTGTCATTTAAAAAGCTATGGTTTTGTTGAGTGTGTTATGTATTTTCCTGTGACAGATTATGTATTTCATTCCTTTGTTTTCCCAGAGACATCATATGGTTCTAGCCATGTTTTTCTAACTATGAATTCCATGCACAGGCTGACAAGGAGAGGGACAGCAGGAAGGACTATTTAAAACTGGCAATTACTATACTTGACATATTGCCTATTACTGAGAAATTGTATTTTTCCTATTTCCCCTCACAGAGAATTAAATTTTGATTAAACCCAAGGACTTCTGACTGTCTTCC